TTCCTCTTTCCTCTTCACTTGGGTGACATCTCTGGCCCACCGCATACACACACCCACACATGCACACACACACAGAAAACTCCCTCTACTAATCCTAATAGGAAAATTGTGAGTTATGTTAAGACTGGCCGTTTGTGTAAATGTGTGTGTGGTACTGCTCCCAGTGTGATGGCTTGAGTTTTGTGCTGAGTAACTCTGTGGCTGTCTGTGCGTGTGTGCGTGTGTGTGCATGCGTGTGTGTGTGTGTACCACTCGCTGAATAGACAAAATCCGCCTGACTTCATTATGTGGTATCTGGTCAGCTCGTATTGCCTGTGTAATACCGAGATTTGAAGATGGTGTCATCACTGAAAAGCTACCAAAACATAATGCCCCAAATACTTAAAATGCCCAGAGGAGCTGCACGTAATGGTGTTTGTTGATGGTTAATAGTACACACACACACACACGTTTTGTCATATCATCTTTCCACCATTCAAATTATTCACAGAAATTGTTTTATGTTTGCACATCCTACGTTCATAGTTTTAATCCCTTTAAAGGTCCCCACAGCAAATAATCTTTCTCGATATCATCCTATCCCTGGCATCGTCTTCTATCGCACCAACCCTCTGCATGTCTTCACAGTAAGAAAAAAAAAGCTATAGATTGTACAGCTAAAAACTGGCAGCAGGGTTGACATCGCCTTGCTGTAAAAAACAGCCACCATATTGTAATTCTTTTTAGTTTTTACTGTAATGTTTTACAGGAACATACTTTTTTAAATGCTGTAGTGGTGCTGTAAATCTTTACACCATTCTTTGCAGTAATAATGTAATTTTTAAAGTGTGTATATGTCTACTAATACTGTAATTTTATCTTTAGTACAGTGATAGTGTAATTTCTACAGTAAATTATCTTGTGAAACTGCAATATTTGAGAGAATATTTGTGAATAATTGAGCCCAGAGGAAATTATGTAACCATGTAATGTAATTATGTAGATGAGAACTAGGACAGTTGTGTAGTCAACTGTCCTATGAGTGTTGTAAAAACAAAAAACTTCTTGAAAAATCTAAACTTTTATTTAAAATATAAGTTTTACATTCACAGACATATTATCAGTCTTCTTAATATTTTGTTAAAAACACTGATGTATTTATCACACAATTACACTGTAATTACACAGTGTGGCGCATTGACCACACATTCATAACACATTGAGTCAAACACTACATCCATGAACATCCTCTGACGTCTTCCTCTTTTCCTCTCTCACTGCACCCCAACATGCCTTCCCACTCTCTTCCTTTTCCTCCATCTTCGGCTGACAGTACGGTTTTCACCTTGTTGGTCAACAACACCTGAGGCAGTTGTTGTTGACCCAGGCCCCAACTGTCCCAGTATGGAAATCTCCTTCTTTATGATCTGTGTTTTTGATTCCTCCAAGACTTTAGGGTAGACGCCCTTCCTGATGCAACTCACCCCATTTATCAGGACTTGTGATTGGCACAAGAAGTACACTGGCACCAGTGAAACCATGATCCTATATTTTGCAAAGATGATGTACAATTATATTTACCATTTAAACAGACTGGCACTATGCACCCCTGCAACATGACAGCTTATTTTATAACTTTTTTTTTTTGAATCATGGATATGCCAAGCTTTAAGTGTCTTTTCTATACCATTTTAACACTTAGACTCCTGACATTAAAGGGTGTAAAGGGCAGGGGAGGAGTTGTGAAAAGGAAACAGGAAGGACATCAAAGCTATCTTAAGTACACTCTAGTTGTAATGCTGTTTTTCTCTTCATACAGTCATTACAGTCACTAGGCTCGTCTTAGTGAAACTGACTTTTGGCATCTCGTGTGCTCCACTTATTTTCTGTGTAATTTGCAGTCATTTTTAGCTGTGTTCCTTTCTTCTTAGATGACACAGAAACATGTCTGAGAGCAGATCAACAAGCTGCCACACACGTCAAAGCAGTGCACAAAGCTTATTAATGGTTTGTGTGAATAAGTGTGACAGTTAGCAAAGGGAGGGCCAACACAAAGAAAATATCACATTACAAAGTCTGAACACTGCAAACAGTTGGAGGAGGGGAAGGCACATACACTGAAAAATCACACAGACACACAGGTTAAAACCTTAGAAATATGAATGAGTGCTTACTATAACAGTACTAG